CCCCCCCCCCGCAACCCTCCCCAGTCTTCCTGCTGTAGTTTGACAGTCTGTTTGATGTTGCTCTGCTCTGTATCTATTTTTGCTCATCAGTTTATAATGGTCGTAATTATCCATAAATGAGTGGGATCATGTGGTATTTTTCTTTCATTAACTGGCTTATTTCACTTAGCATAATGCTCTCCAGTTCCATCCATGCTGTCGCAAATGGTAAGAATTCCTTCTTTTTTACAGCAGCATAGTATTCCATCGTGTAGATGTACCACAGTTTTCTAATCCATTCATCTGCTGATGGGCACTTAGGCTGTTTCCAGATCTTAGCTATGGTGAATTGTGCTGCTCTGAACATAGGGGTGCATATATCCTTTCTGATTGGTGTTTCTGAGTTCTTGGGATATATTCCTAGAAGTGGGATCACAGGGTCAAATGGGAGTTCCATTTCCAGTTTTTTGAGGAAATTCCATACTGTCTTCCATAGTGGCTGCACCAGTCTGCATTCCCACCAGCAGTGCACGAGTGTTCCTTTTTCTCCACATCCTCTCCAGCACTTGTCGTTTGTTGATTTGTTGATGATAGCCATTCTGACAGGTGTGAGATGGTACCTCATTGTTGTTTTGATTTGCATTTCTCGGATGATTAGTGACTTTGAGCATGTTTTCATATGTCTCTTGGCTTTCTGAATGTCCTCTTTTGAAAAGTGTCTATTTAGGTCCTTTGCCCATTTTTTTTATTGGGTTGTTTATCTTCCTTTTGTTAAGTTGTATGAGTTCCCTATAAATTTTGGAGATTAAACCCTTATCAGATATGACGTTGGCAAATATGTTCTCCCATGCAGTGGGCTTTCTTGTTGTTTTGTTGATGGTTTCTTTTGCTGTGCAGAAGCTTTTTATTTTGATGTAGTCCCATTTGTTTATTTTCTCTTTAGTTTCCAATGCCCTAGGAGCTGTATCAGTGAAGAAATTGCTTCGGCATATGTCTGAGATTTTGTTGCCTTTGGATTCCTCTAGTATTTTTATGGTTTCCCGTCTTACATTTAAGTCCTTCATCCATTTTGAGTTTATTTTTGTGTATGGTGTAAGTTGGTGGTCTAGTTTCATTTTTTTGCATGTATCTGTCCAATTTTCCCAACACCATTTATTGAAGAGACTGTCTTGACTCCATTGTATGTTCTTGCCTCCTTTGTCAAATATTAATTGAGCATATTGGTTCGGGTCGATTTCTGGGCTCTCTATTCTATTCCATTGATCTATATGTCCGTTCTTGTGCCAGTACCAGGCAGTTTTGAGAACAGTGGCTTTGTAATACAGCTTGATATCTGGTATTGAGATCCCACCTACTTTGTTCTTCTTTCTCAGGATTGCTGCAGCTATTCGGGGTCTTTTTTTATTCCAGATGAATTTTTGGAGAGTTCGTTCTAGATCTGTGAAATATGCTGTTGGTATTTTAATGGGAAGTGTGTTGAATTTATAGATTGCTTTGGGTAGTATGGACATTTTAATGATGTTGATTCTACCAATCCAAGAACATGGTATGTTCTTCTCTCTCTTTATGTCTTTCTCTATCTCTTTTTTCAACGTCCTGTAGTTTTCTGAGTAGAGGTCTTTTACCTCTTTAATTAAGTTTATTCCTAGGTATCTTAATTTTTTTTGTTGTGATGGTAAATGGGATTGCTTTTTTAGTCTCTCTTTCTGTAAGTTCACTATTGGTGTATAGAAATGCCATAGATTTCTTGGCATTAATTTTGTATCCTGCTACATTGCCAAATTCATTTATTAAGTCTAATAGCTTTTTGATGGAGTCTTTAGGGTTTTTTATGTATATTATCATGTCATCTGCGAATAAGGACAGTTTTACTTCTTCTTTTCCAATTTGGATGCCTTTTATTTCTTCTTGTCTAATTGCAATGGCTAATACTTCCAGTACTATGTGGAACAGGAGTGGTGAGAGTGGGCATCCCTGTCTTGTTCCTGTTCTTAGAGGAAATGGTTTTAGTTTTTGTCGATTGAGTATGATGTTGGCTGTGGGTTTGTCATATATGGCTTTTATTATGTTGAGGTATGATCCTTCTATTCCCACCTTGCTGAGAGTTTTTATCAGAAATGGGTGTTGGATTTTGTCAAATGCTTTTTCTGCATCAATTGATATGACCATGTGGTTTTTTTCTTTGAATTTGTTTATGTGATGTATCACATTTATTGATTTGTGGTTATTGTACCATCCTTGTATCCCTGGGATAAATCCTACTTGGTCATGGTGTATGATCTTTCTGATGTACTGCTGGATCCGATTTGCTAAGATTTTGTTGAGGATTTTGGCATCTATGTTCATGAGGGATATTGGCCTGTAATTCTCTTTCATTGTGTTGTCTTTACCTGGTGTTGGTATTAGGGTGATGCTGGCTTCCTAGAATGAGCTTGGAAGTGTTCCTTCCTCTTGAATTTTTTGTAGTAGTCTGAGGAGGATAGGTTTTAGTTCTTGCCTGAATGTTTGGTAAAACTCCCCTGTGAAGCCGTCTGGCCCTGGGCTTTTGTTTGCTGGAAACTTTTTGATGACTGCTTCAATTTCTTCCATAGTTATTGGCCTATTGAGATTTTTAGATTCTTCCTGATTGAGTTTTGGAATGTTGTATTTTTCTAGGAATATGTCCATTTCCTCCAGGTTGTCTAGTTTGTTGGAGTAGAGCTGTCCATAGTATTTTTTAACAATCATTTGTATTGTTGTGGGGTCTGTTGTTATTTCGCCTCTATCATTTCTGATTTTGTTTATTTGGGTCCTCTCTCTTTGCTTCTTGGTGAGCCTGGCTAGAGGTTCATAAATCTTGTTTATCCTTTCAAAGAACCAGCTCTTGGTTTCGTTGATTTTACGTATTGTTTTTTTTTTTGGTCTCTATGTCATTTATTTCTGCTCTGATCTTTATTATCTCCTTCCTTCTGCTCACTCTGGGCTTTTCTTGTTGCTCTCTTTCTAATTCCTTGAGATGTAGAGTTAGATGATTTACTACCATTTTTCCTTGTTTTTTGAGGTAGGCCTGTAGGGCTATAAACTTCCCTCTCAGGACTGCTTTCATTGTGTCCCATAGGTTTTGGATTGTTGTGTTTTTATTGTCATTAGTTTCCAGGATGTTTTTAATTTCTTCTTTGATCTCATTGGTAACCCAATCAATATTTAATAACATGCTATTCAGCTTCCAAGTGTTTGAGTATTTTGGGTTGTTTGTATTGTAGTTTATTTCTAATATTATGCCATTGTGATCTGAGAAGATGCTTGGTATGATTTCAATCTTCTTGAATTTGGGGAGACTTTGCTTGTGACCCAATATGTGGTGTATTTTTGAAAATGTCCCATGTGCACTTGAGAAGAACGTATATTCCGTGGCTTTGGGGTGAAATGTTCTGAAGATGTCAATTAAGTCCATCTGATCTAGTGAGTCATTTAGGATTGCTGTTTCTTTGCTGATTTTTTGTCTAGAGGATTTATCCAGTGATGTCAGTGGTGTATTAAAGTCCCCTACTATGATTGTATTGTTGTCGATCTCTCCCTTGATATCTTCCAGGAGTTTTTTTATGTATTTGGGTGCTCCTGCATTGCGTGCATATATGTTTATCAGGCTTATATATTCTTGTTGTATCGATCCCTTTAGTATTATGAAGTGGCCTTCCTTATCTCTTGTTATGGCCTTCACTTTGAGGTCTATTTTGTCCGATATAAGTATTGCTACCCCAGCTTTTTTTTCATTTCCATTTGCCTGAAAGATATTTTTCCATCCCTTCACTTTCAGTCTGTGTGAGTCCCTTCTTCTGAGGTGGGTCTCTTGTAGACAGCAAATACATGGGTCATGTTGTTTTATCCATTCAGCCACTCGATGTATTTTGATTGGAGCATTTAGTCCATTTACGTTTAAAGTTAATTTTGAAAGGTACTTGTTTGTAGCCATTTCTATTTTTTGTGCCAGTTTTCTTTCTGAGCTTTTTATTTCTTCTTTTTACACCAGTCCCTTTAGCATTTCTTGCATTGCCGGCTTGGTGGTGATAAACTCCCTTAACCTTTTTTTGTCTGTGAACCTTCTTATTTCCCCTTCAATTTTGAATGATAGCCTTGCTGGATAGAGTATTCTTGGATTCAGTCCTTTGCTTTGCATCACTTTGTAAATTTCTGTCCATTCTTTTCTGGCCTGATGTGTTTCTGCTGAGAAGTCATTTGATAATCTAATGGGAGATCCCTTGTATGTAACTTTCCGTCTCTCTCTTGCAGCCTTTAAGATTCTCTCTTTGTCATGAACATTTGCCATGGTAGTTATGATAAGTCTTGGCGTGGGTCTTTTCGATTTCATCTTGTTTGGGACTCTCTGTGCTTGTGTAACTTTTTTCTTCCCCACCTCAGGGAAGTTTTCTAATATTATTTCTTTCAATAGGTTTTCTAACCCTTATTCCTCTTTCTGTTCTTCTGGCACCCCTATTATTCATATGTTGTTTCGTTTCATGTTGTCCCATAGCTCCCTTAGGCTCTCCTCCTGTCTTTTAATTTTTTTTCTCCAATTGCAGTTCAGTTTGCGTGTATTTTGTTTCCCTGTCTTCTAATTCGCTAATTTGGTCCTCCGCTTCTCCTAGTCTACTGTTGAAACTTTCAATGGTGTTTTTTATTGCAGCTATATCACTCTTCATTTCTTCTTGGTTCTTACATAAGTTATTGATTTTTTTCTTCCATTTCTTTTTGATTCTTACATAAGTTGTTGATTTTTTCATCTGTTTCTTCTTGATTCTTGCATAAGTTGTTGATTTTTTCCTCCATCCGGTTTATGAACTCTAGGACCCTTAATCTGAATTCTTTTTCTGACATGTTGCATGCCTCTGTTTCACTTAGCTGCTTTTCTGGCGAGTCCTCCTCTTCTTTCTTTTGGGGGTTTCTTTGTCTACCCATGTTTGATCTCACCGACAGGTCTAGATGTTGAGTCGTTCAGGGGCTGCTCCTTGGTTGGCTGTGGCTCCTCGGGCTGTGGTTGCTCCTCGGGTGGTTGTGGTAGCAGTTGCTCCTCAGTTGTCAGCAGCTCCTCTGGTGGGTGCTGTTCACAGCCGTGGTGGCTCCTCTGGCTGGTGGGGGGAGGCTTCTCACACAGCTGCTGTTCCTCAGACAGAGGGTGTGGTGATCACGAGGCTGCTGTTCCTTGGATGGGGGTGGGCTACACACGCAGCTTCTACTCCTTGAACTGGGGCAGACTGCTCACGTGGCTGCTGTTCCTTGAATGGGGGCTGGCTGCACGCTGCTGTTGTTCCTCTGATGTGGTGGGCTGCTTGTGGGGCTACTGCTCCTTGGACTTGGACAGGTTGATTGCAAGTCTGCTGCTCCTCGGATGGGGGTGGGCTGCTTGCATGGCTGCCGCTCTTTGGACGGGAGTGAGCTGCACGCGTCGCTGCTCCTCCTCTCCAGGTGTCTGGTTATGTGGCTTGCTCTCTAGCACTTTAGCCAGACAGGATAAAATTCACCTTAACAAGACATGACTGAAGGGGAACAAAGCATGAATGTACTCACTACACTGATAACCCCAATATAAGTGACCACCTGAGAAAAGAGAATTAGGGGAGAGAAAAGAGAGTACAAATGATATCTAAGAGAGAGAGAGAGAGAGAGAGAGAGAGAGAGAGAGAGAGAGAAAAGGAGAAAAAAAAGATAGGAGAGAAAAGGAAAAGGAGAATATATATGTGTGTGTGTATATATATATATATATATATATAGAGAGAGAGAGAGAGAGAGAGAGAGAGAGAGAGAAGAGAGAACACCACAGAACCAATAGATAAACCAAACAAATACAAACAACAAACACCCAGTAAAGAGGGTGGGGGCAGAATCTGTAGAGGCTGAGCTGATATACAGGAAATAAGGTTAAGAATTGGATCTGCTATTTTTTTTGTAGTAGAAGGCAAAATCAGTGATTATGTATCTTAGGTCATACATATATCTTGTTAGATATATAATAAGGGAAATACTGGTATATTATTTTTTCCTAAAAGCCAACATGCCACAATTGAATATATATCTATATTTTTTAAACTTAGGAGAAGCTGAATAGCTTGGTACAGAAATGGTTCCCTGAGCTACCTCTGCTTCATCCTGAAATAGGATTACTTAAGTATATGGTAAGCTTTGTTTCCCCTGAGAATTACTACTCTGAAGACAGTGTTGAAACTAACGATGTTAAAATTGTGTGTCAATGTTAAATTTATAATATCCATACTATAAAAATGTTTCTGATGAGTAGTTTCTGGGTATTATGAGAACTTTTTCTCAAAACTGGCTTTAATACTGGCACAGTGCATTCTAGGTGTCTTATTTTTTTAAATGATAGCAGTTTTAGCTGCTGGCCCAAGAGTTAGAATAAAAGCAGGACACTTATAGTCATGAGAAATTTATGCCAAATCTATCTTTTAAGTTAAAGTAGACTGGAGAAAATTGTAGAGATGTTGGTTAAGTTAGAGATGTTGATGTGGGTATAGTTTTCTAGGCTGATAGGATTCAAAGCCTGGAAAATCAGGGTACTAGACAGAAGGGCAGTGTGGAGCAGGATGGTAGACTGAGGCAGAATTTGTTAGCTCTGTGTTTTATTTTGCCTGGTAGTGATGCGGGGGCTAGATACGATAGTTATTCTTTTTTTAAAAATATATTTTTATTGATTTCAGAGAGGAAGGGAGAGGGGAAAGAGTGAGAGAAATATCAGTGATGGGAGAGAAACACTGATCGGTTGCCTCCAGCACAACCTCCACTGGGGGTCGAACCCGCAACCCGGGCATGTGCCCCTGACTGGAATTGAACCCAGGACTGCAAGCCAATGCTCCATCCATTGAGCCAAACTAGCTAGGGCACGATATATATTCTTAAAGATTGACATTAAGTCCATGATAATAGCTCAGATATGGGGCACAAAGGGATATTCACATATTTGTGAACTCATAAATGTGAAGACTAAAGTTTCTTAAATTGTTAAAGAAATTACTGTAAAATCTTTGCAGATGAAACTTTAAAATAAAGTGGGGTTTTCCATGCAATTATTTAACTGTAGCTTAGAGACTATCTCATGCAGAATGGGTGAGTGAATATGTGGTGCCATGTAGGACTTGAAAATTAATTAAAAAATATGCTAACCTATTTCATTGTGGAAGAATATAAAAGGTTTGAATCAGGGATTATGGACTTTAATGGTTTTAAGAAGTTTAACTGAGATGCATACTTAGGAAACCTCTGTGGATTGATTATAGGTTGTGGGTATTGACAACATTTAAGAAAAACCCAAAGCAGTTTTACAGTCCTTGTTACTAAAATTGTACAACAATGAAACTTGCTTGGCCTATGTTGTTGATATTCAAGTTTTAGTGCAAAACATTATTTCTTTTTAAAAGTAGCAGAAATAATTTAGTAGAATGAAAATATTTGAAAATCATTTTCATTCTTGAGGATACCACTTCAAAACAGATGACTACTTCATAGTAGTCATCATTTTTAGGCTTCTCATTCCCGTTTTACAACCTCCTTTTTATTGTCACTTTAATATTTTTAGGAAACACAAGAAGTTTTACAAGTAAACATCAGGGTTCCTTGGAAGCATGTCTGGTTTATTCCAGTCTTTTCAGAGTCTGTTCTATAACTGTAGTAGCAATTAAAATGATGATGATAATACTTTGGGTTGTGGTTCAAGAGCCAGGAACTAGGAAAAAAATATGAAACTTTAAATATTTTTATTTCCTTGGGTTCTCCAGTAGGGTTAATGATGTCCACTTCAGCTAATAGCATGTAACTATGTTGATCACTTAAGTGTTGGGATTGTTTGGATTATTACTTTAACAAAAACTTGTGCCTAGAACTCTGGTGGTCTTCTTACCATGAGCTTGGAACGGGATCTTCTTGATGCTGAGCCCATGAAAGAACTTAGCAGCAAGCGTCCTTTGTTATGTTCTGAGGTTAATGGGCAGATAATTCTTTTAAAGGTAAGTTTAAGTTCTTCTGACTTATGGGAGATTCAGAAATGTAATGGGCTGTGGTGTTACTTTTTAGGAAAGTAAAAACTCACTGTTTGTTTTCTAAATTTTACTAGTTGACCAGTTTGATAATTATGCTTCTGGTTTGATAACCAGAACTAATTTTTTTTTAAATGCATTTTATTGATTTTTTACAGAGAGGAAGGGAGAGGGATAGAGAGCCGGAAACATCAATGAGAGAGAAACATCGATCAGCTGCCTCCTGCACGACCCCCACTGGGGATGTGCCCGCAACCAAGGCACGTGCCCCTGAGCGGAATCGAACCCGGGACCCTTGAGTCTGCAGGCCGACGCTCTATCCACTGAGCCAAACCGGTTCTGGCCAGAACTAATTTTGAATTTAAAGCTTCCCTAAGTAATATATGTTCCTTAATAGGATACACTTGCTTTCCTTTTTCAAGTGAATTTATTACATTCTATCCAGTAGCTTTAAAAATTTTTTGTTTTTCTTATACTTCTCTTTGAAATGAGTTATTATAAAATTTTACCTGTTTTGCCAACTCAGTCTTCAATTCTTTGATTTCTTCTCTTCATTGATCTGGGAAACTGTTATCATGATAATAGGATAATTAATTTGGCCTTAGTGGCTATGCATTGTGGATGTATATTAACACATTGCGTACCGCATAGAAATCTCTAAGACATACGCCAGGGACCACACGTTTTTGGGCAAACTGCACGTTATTTAGATCATCATAATGCACTTTAGGTGTTGTTTTTCAATAATTATAACATTTTTATTTACAAAAACAATTAAACAATTAAAGTTCCTAGTACTTTTTTAACGTATGGTACTGCGTAAAACATTTTCCTCTATGAAGAGGGACCAAACAAAATTTACATAAGTATCTAGATTCGCTCCTTTTTCCATGGGCGTGAAAAACGAGAACACTCGTGAGCGGTCCTTAACAGATGGCGCGAGAAACACGAGAAAACTCCTGAGCGGTACGAAATGTGTTAAGTCACAAGTAGAATTTTTCTTTCCTTTCTAAATTATAGCATTCAAAACAGATAAAAAGGTACTTAAAAAGTTTAAAAATAAAATTAGATGTAATTTAACTTATGTAAAAATCATGATGTTGAAGTTGGAATGATGTATCATTGGAGTGGGATTTTTAATCTTGGAATTACCAGTGTCTCTCTTTTTGGTACAAGGGCTACTCTGTGGATGTTGATACAGAAGCCAGGGTGGTTCAGAGAACAGCTGCCTATCACAGAGCTTGGAGAGAAGCTAAGGAAGAGTCTGGGTTGCTACCATTGATATTCCTATTTCTGTGTAAGGTAAAGTTCTTATACTAATCTCGCAGAAAATGTTGCATTTAAAAAAAGTTTTAGCTTCCAGTTTTAGTGAGGCAGTTATTCATTCCTTTTAAAATAAAGGTATCTTGTACAATCAATATAAACTAAAAACATATTGAAGAATTTTTTACTTTGAGTCTTATTTTCTGTTTTGCTTCTTAGTCCGATCCTATGGCTTATCTGATGGTCCCCTACTATCCTAGGGCAAACTTGAGTGCTATTCAAGCCAGTATGCCTCTAACTTCAGAGGTAAGTTAAAAAAAAAATCTATTTCCATGGATGTATTGAATGAGAAAACAACAGCTAATGTGTGTTGAGGGCATACTACTTGCTTTACACTATGTAAAATTTTTACTCATATTACTGTATTTGTCACATCTACCCTGTGATATGAGTTATCCCATTAAATACACATGAAAAAATGTGAGGCTCACAGAGATTAAATGACTTGCACAGGGTCCCTTACCCAGTGGTAAAGGGCTCATGCTTAAAACTTAAGCTGTACTGTAAATTGCATAGTATATATAGCACTTGGTATTAGAAGTATTTGAGTGACAGCTTTAATTTCTGTCATAAATTTGAGTTAGTAATACCAATAAAGGACATCCTGATTTTTCCTGCCTGGTAACACTATTTCAGTCTCTTTTTCTCTCCCAGATGCCTTCCTTATATGGTCATTATTTGTAATCTAAGTCTTTTTAGAGACTGAAGTCTTTAAGTCATGTATAGACGATGTCACCAGTTACATAATCAAAGCTTCTGTCTTTAATTCTTTCTCTATATTGTATTCTTATTAAAGATTCATTTGGAGGAAGCTTTACTCATTTCTGGAATAGTCTTTTAATTATGTATTAAAATGATTTGCCTACTTCCTGACTTCTTTTGTGTGTACTTATCTATAGGAAGCTTTAAAGGTCATGAAAGGTGTTGCCCAAGGCCTGCATACATTGCACAAGGCTGACATAATTCATGGATCACTTCATCAGAACAATGTATTTGCTTTAAACCGTGAACAAGGAATTGTTGGAGATTTTGACTTCACCAAATCTGTGGTAAAATATCATGATTTTACAAATAGGTCCTAGACTTCATTTAATATTATTAGGCAGTATTTCAACACTTTTACATGATATGATAATTTATTGTAAGATCTTTGCCTTTAGTTTAAGTTGTGTCATGTAGTATAAGCAATTTGCTGTTATCAGCTAGATGCTAGAACAGAGTTTCTAAATTTTTGCATTACATTTTGTAACTATCAGTCTTAAGAGCAAGCTGACATTGTAGTCAATGGCATTGACAACACTAAATATTATTTTGTCATCATCAAGATACATTTAATTGCTAGAAAATACACAGGGAAAGCTAGGTGGCTATTTTCTGCCTCTCCTATTAATACCCTTCCTTCTAATAGATTATATATATATATATATATATATATATATATAGATATATTGCTATTTTTAAATTAATGGGCATTTTTTAGAAACTTGGGAACCAAAGATGAAGATAGGAGGAGGAGAAGACATAATTAACAGTAATTTGTGCTAGGTGATTACTAATTATTTTTAGCTTTCCCATGACTCTGTAAGGTAGATATTATTTTCATTTTATAAGTTAATTTAGGCTCAAAGAATTAGTTAAAGCCCAAGGTCACACAGCAAATAAATGGAGAGGAGAATTGCAGCCAAGGTCTGTCTAAATCCAGGTTTCAAGTTTTTTTTTTTTTTAAAAAGATACATTTTTATTGATTTCAGAGAGGAAGGGGCGGGGGGGGGGAGAGAGAGAAAGAAAGAGAGAGAGAAAGGGAAACATCACTGATGAAAGAGAATCATTGATCAGTTGCCTCCTGCATGCTCCACACTGGGGATTGAGCCTGCAACCCAGCATGTTCCCTGACCAGTAATTGAACCGTGACCTCCTGGTTCATAGGTCGGCGCTCAACCACTGAGCCACAGAGTGGTTCAGTCAACTAGATATCTTTTGTTCTTGTTACTAGATATCTTTTGACACATCAGAAATGGTGTACTTAGAAATGGTCAGTAAAAAAGGAAAGTACTTTGTAGACTTACAGTTTTTTTAAAAGTTACCTAGAATATTTTAGAATTAGAAAATAGCACATCTTCTTTACCCTTATGACATTTATTTTAAAAATGTACCAAATGTTTAAATAAGTAGTGGTTTTTATTTTAAATCTACTTGAGTCTACAGTGTGAAATGTAACCGAAGTCTCACTGTTAATTTTATGACATTGATTTTAGGAGCAGTTTATAATAGCAGAAATTAGGTAAAAATACGTGATAACAGAAGAGAATGAAGTATTACAAATTAGTTTTTGTTGTTGTTGAATAGATGTAGAGTACTTCACAGAGAGCCACCTCAACTGTGTTGCCTCTAAGATATTTAACCTGCTGTTTTCCTAGAGTCAGCGAGCCTCAGTGAACATGATGGTTGGTGACTTGAGTTTGATAGCACCTGAAGTGAAAATGGGAAAACCTGCTTCTCCAAGTTCTGACTTATATGCGTATGGCTGCATTTTATTGTGGGTATGTTATTTTTTATTGAAATAGGTCATTCATTTATATGTGTGTGTGTGTATTTCAGTATATAAAGTGATGATTTTGTAGGGATTTTCCTCAACACAAAAAGCAGTGATAGATTTTTAGTAGAAAGTTGTTTGTTTTCTTTTTAAAAAAGTTTTATGACAAACTGTTGGCATACTTTCTGTCACTGATTATGTACTTTCTACAAATTGGCTTGCTATATATTTACATATCACACTGTTATCTTTTATTAAAGTCAAGATTAACAGTGAAAATGATTTTGTCCTATATTATTTGGAAGCAGTTTATCCATATGTGGAAAATAAATGCTGAGTGAACCTTGAGTAAATATTCCTGATTTCAGTGTAAATCAGATAGCGATTTTTTATTCAGGGTTTAAAACCATTCTTCCTGTGAATTATGAGGGGTTAAGTATTAATCAGGGAAGGATATCTGTTCTCACTTCTGCTTACCATTGTACTAGAGGTTCTAACCCAGGGTTCTGCAAAAGGCTAGATGATAAGTATTTAAGATCTCTGTAGTATGAAAGCAGCCATAGACAGTAAGTAAATGAATGAGTGTTATGGACATTGAAATTGGAATTTCTTATAATTTTAATATGTCAAGAGATAGTATTTTTTGATTTTATTTTAAACATTAAAAAATGGCTTCCAGTCCTAACCGGTTTGGCTCAGTGGATAGAGCGTCAGCCTGCGGACTCAAGGGTCCCAGGTTTGATTCCGGTCAAGGGCATGTACCTTGGTTGCGGGCACATCCCCAGTAGGGAGTGTGCAGGAGGCAGCTGATCGATGTTTCTCTCTCATTGATGTTTCTAACTCTCTATCCCTCTCCCTTCCTCTCTGTAAAAAATCAATAATATATATATATATATTTAAAAAAAAGAAATATCCTGTTGTTAAAAAAATGGCTTCCAGGCTGTAAAAAAATAAGCAGTGGAATTGATTTGGCATGCAGGCCATAATTTGCTGATCCTGGTCTAGCCAGTGTAATAAGGCAACAAAAAGAAATAAAAAACATACTGTTTGAAAAGAAGTAAAGCTGTCTTTATTATGTAGAAAATGTGTAGGAATGTACCTAAGAGCTACTAGAACTAAGAAGTTTAGTGAGGTTGCAGGAAAAAACGTCAGCATATAATAATTGTGTTTTCATATATTAGCAAAATAAAATAGGAAATGGAAATAAATCACTTACAGTAGTGACAGCTATACACTGAAAATTATTAAGTGTTGTTTAGAGAAATGAAAGGAGACATAAATAAGTGGAAAAATGTACCATGCTCGTGGACTAGAAGACTCAATGTTGAATGGATCTGAATTCTTCTCAAATTGGTCTACAGAGTCAATACAATTCCTACAACAATACTTCTAGGCTTTCAGTAATTGTCAATCAAATTCTATAATTTATATGACAATACATAGGATATGAGATAGCTAAAATAATTTCAAAACATATAATTGGAGGACTTAAACTACCTGAATTTAAGACTTAATGAAATTAAAAATCAGGAAAGTGTGATGTTGGTGTACACTTAGACATACAGATCAGTGGGGCAGAATAGACACAGTAGGAATAGACAATTATATGTGGTTGGTTGATTAAAAATAGTATTTTATTTTTTATTACAATTGACATACAATATTATATTAATTTCAGGTGTAAAACCCAGTTATTAGACATTTATAGAACTTAAGTGATAACCCTGATAAATCTAGTACCCATCTAACATGGTTAATACAATATTATTGACTATATTCTCTATGCTGTACTTTATATTCCCATGACTGTTCTATAACTACCACTTTGTACTTCCTAATCCCTACACCTTTTTTCACCCATTCCCTCACCCCCCCTCCCATTTGGCAACTCTTTTTTTGTATCTATGAGTCTGTTTCCGATCTGCTTGTTCATTTATTTTATTTTTTAGATTCCACATGTAAGTGAAATCATATTGCATTTGTCTCTCTGTCTGACTTACTGCACTTAGCATAATAACCTCTAGGTCCATCCATGTTATTGCAGATGGCAGGATTTCATTCTGTTTTTTTTGGCTGAATCATTTCATTGTGTATATGCACCATGTCTTATTCAATGCTGCAGTGAGAATGTGGATGCATATGTTTTTGATTTAGTGTGGTGTCAGTTGTTATTCTGCTTTTTCTTGCTGCTTTTAAGATTCTCTCTTTGTCTTTAACCTTTGGCATTTTAATTATGAAGTGTCTTTGTGTGGGCCTCTTTGGGCTCATCTTGATTGGGACTCTGTGCTTCTTGGACTTGTATGTCTGTTTCCTTCACCAGGTTAGGGAAGTTTTTTGTCATTATGTTTTCAAATAGGTCTTTAATTCCTTGCTGTCTCTCTTCTCCTTCTGGCACCCCCATCATGCAAATGTTGGTACTTTTGAAGTTGTCCCAGAGGTTCCTTAAACTATTCACATTATTTTAAATTCTTTTTTTCTTTTCACTGCTCTGATTAGGTGTTTTTTTTTCCTACCTTGGCTTCCAAATCACTGATTTGATCCTCTGTTTCATCCAACCCACTTTGTATTGATGTCAGATATGGTATTCTTCATTTCTGGCTAGTTCTTTTTCATGGTTTCTATGTTCTTTTTCAATAGTTGTAGTTCTCAGTAAGTTCTTTGAGCATCCTTATAACCATTACTTTGAACTCTGATAAATTGCTTGCCTTCATTTCATTTCACTCTTTTTTTCTGGAGATTCCTCCTGTTCTTTCATTTGGGACTTGTTTCTTCAACTGTGTATTAGATAGAACTGCTATGGGGTGGTCTTATGTAGTAGGTGTGCTGTGGGACCCAGTGGTTGTACTCTCCTTGATTTCCTGAGCTGGGTGCCCTAGGAATGTCCCTTGTGTGGCTTTGTGGGCCCTCCTGTTGTAATTGGGTCTTGATTGCTATTGGCCCATTCATGGTTGGGATCAACCCTCAGGCTGGCTGACATATGAGGCTCAACTCTGACCACACTGTGCAATCTGCTGTGCTGGTGCAGTTTTGAGGTGTCTTGTTGGGTTCAGTAGAATAATCTTCCAGATCACCTGACTTCTGTTCTCCAGGAATGTTTCTTGTGGGTTATGTACACCCCCTGCTATAGTTGAACTTGAATGCTGTTGGCCCTTTCGTGGGTGGAGTTAAAACTTCACTGGGTGACTATAAGGTAAACTTGGATCACCATGCATGAAATGCTGTGTAGGGGCTGCCCCCCGAGGCAGCGTTGTTTCCAGCAAGATATGGCGCCTTCCAGAATCCCCCTTTGGGTGTGCCACTTGTGTGGCTAGTTGGATCAAGCTCTGGTGTAGTCTGAAAGCCACCACTGGTTGTGTTAGTTCTGGGTCTACCTGAGTGGGGTTCAGGTACAGGTCACTGTCAGACGTTCCGAGTAACCGACCTTGGGCTGCCTGTCTTTAACTGCTACTCTGTTCAGTTTGTGTCTGTATTAACTGGACCTGAGTGTGTGTGGGAGGGGCCAATCTGTGTAAAAGGGTTGCCTTCTTCCAGCTTTGAGCTAGGAGCAGATCCATAAAAGAACAGAAGCTTCCTGATGTCCAATTCTACCTGTCAGCTACTCTGTCTTCCCCTGAGGTTGCCTGCTCTCCCTCCAGAGCCTTCCGAAGAGAGACTGTAGGATGAACTCAGGCTAGCTGAGATAGGGTTAGGGAAAGTAGCCCCTGGTTCAAAGCCAAACCCCTCGGTCTCTGACAGTCTGCACCTCTAGTTTCCTCTGTGGAGGCTCACTGTAGGTTCAGGTTGGGTACAGGAGCAAGCTTAGCCTGCCTGGGCTCAGGACGATAGATCAAAACAGTCTCTTGTTGAGGATGATGCCAGTCCAGCCAGCAGGAGGGGGCTAAGCATTTCTCTGGTCCCAGACAATAGCCTCCCTCTAAAGGTCTTAGACTTTGAATGCCCAGTTCTGAGCTGCTCTCCCTTCCTGCCATGGAACTACAGGGTTATGTGGGACTTGGCAGAGCTGATCCAGTCTCCCGTTGGGAATAGTGCTTGTAAGGTAAGGAAGTATTAAAAGAGGCTATACTGTGTGCAACCACTCTGATTGATACTTTAGGGGGGGCCCCCAGGAACTATTTGGTTGTTTGTGAACAAGTTCTTATTATAATGAAAGTATTTTTATCCTGCAAGGGTTAATGTGCTTTCTTTGAGTTAGCTCTTCTCTTCTCTTCTCACCAGAATCTGAAGAGTTCCAGATTTGACTTTGTTATAGGGTCAGTATTGGTACATTGGGAATTTATTCTTTCTGATTTTTCTTTACAGCTTTCTGTTCAAAATCAGGAATTTGAGACAAATGAAGAGGGAATCCCGAAAGTGGATCAGTTTCGTTTGGTATGTGACTTTTTTGTCATTTACTTGTTGCAAATGTGATACAGATGTGTAGTAGTAATGTAAACTTAAATATTTGACTGAAAGTGCCCTCTAATTATTGTAAGAAAGCCAAATAGCATTCACAATAAAGAAATATTGAAAAAAAAATTTAGGTACCCTACTTAAATTACTACCAGAGAATTACTGCTAGAGAAGACTGCTTGAGTGTATGTTTTTCACACAAATTATATAAATTATCTAAGTAACAATTAAGGAAAAATAGTCTTTTCTGTATCTTCCAAAATGATATTGTATTAAAATTAATGTTTTACTTTAAAAAAAATTTTTTTATTGATTTCAGAGAGGAAGGGAGAGGGAGAGAGAGATAGAAACATCAATAATGAGAGAGAATCATTGATTGGCTGCCTCCTGCATGCTTCCTACTGGAGATCGAGCCCGAAAACTGGGCATGTTCCCCTGAATAGAATCGAACCTGGGACCCTTCAGTCTGCCGGCTGACACTCTATCCACTGAGCCAAACCGGCTGGGGCTGTTTTACTTTTTTTATAAATACCTAGCTGTATCTTTTCTTTGTCACACATCTATGTCATTCATATTGCTTTGCCATTCATATGTGTATTCAGCCAACATATTTTGAGTATCTATTCTATACCAGAAATTGAACTAGGGGCTGGGTTACTAGGATTGCAGCATTGAAAAAATTAATAATTTGGAAATGTGAACAAGTAAACAACCAAGATCTATAAATATTTTTTAAAAAAATATTTTTATTGATTTCAGAGAGAAAGAGATAGAAATATCAATGACGAAAGTGAATCATTGATTGGTTGCCTCCTGCATGCCTCCTACTGGGGATCAAACCTGCAACCTGGGCATGTGCCCTGACCTGGAATTGAACCGCAGTGTCCTGGTTCATGGGTCAATGCTTATCTATTGAGCCACGCCAAAAGGGCTATACATAGAGTATTAAGAAAGTACTTTGGAGGAAGCCAATTTTTAATTCTGTAGAGAAAGGGGGAAGCAATTAGTTATTTGAGGTGAATCTTCAAGACTGAATTAGAAATTTACATGCGGTAGAGTGAGATGGTAGGCATTTCTGATAAAGACAAAAAGCCTGCACTAAGGTATGAAAATATTAAATTATTTTGAAATGGAATACTACAATATGACTAAATATCAAGAGGTTAAATATTGCAGTAAATGAGTCTACAAAAGTAAATGATCAGGCTCTAAAAGTTCTTATGCTAATTTTTAAATGAAGAAAATATTTTATAATGTTTTACCACTGTTTTTTATGAACTTACTTTTTTTAAGAGCAGTTTTTAAGTTCACAAACAAAATTGAGATGAAGGTACAGAGAGTTCTCATATACTTCCTTCTCTCACATATGCATAGTCTATCCATTATCAACATCCCCCACAAGAGTGGTACATTTATTACAACTGATGAACCTCTGAACCTACTTTGGCACATCTTTATTACCTAAAGTTTAAAGTTTACATTAAGGTTCACTCTTGGTGTACATTCTTATGGATTTGGACAAATGTATGATGACATGTAGCCACCATTATAGTATTATACAGAATATTTTCACTGCCCTAAAAATCCTCTGTGCTCTGACTGTTCATCTCTACCTTCCCCAGGTCTGGGTAACCACTGATCTCTTTACTGACTCCATAGTTTGGCTTTTTCCAGAATGTCAGATAGTTAGCTTGTTTCCTTTTGGTTTTGACTTTTAGAGATTGCTTTTCTACTTGTTCTCTAATTGTGTTTTATGATTTTGTAAAAGTCTATAATCTATGAGAGGGAAAGCTTAAGGAAAATTTTTTTGTTTTTCATGATTTTGGGGACTTGAGTAATTAAACTATTTTTTCTAGTACTTACGTAATTTTATTTTTTAAATTTAGATTTTTGATACATGTGGAATTATCCTAGTGTTTGGTTGGAGAAATATATCTGATCTTTTTCCAGTGGGTAGCTATTTGTCCCAATACCTTTTATTAAAAAGCTATCCCCTTCCTTCATTGGAAAATGCCATCATTTCATTTACTGAAATTTCATTTGTGTAGGAGTATATTGTTAATTTTTCTATTTTGTTCTGGTTTATTTTGTTTATTCAAATTATAGTGCAATATTCTTTCAATTAACAGACTTTAATGCAGGTTTGTCTTCAGTGTAAACTTTTTAATACTTGGGAAGGCTAGTTTCTGCTATTTTTATCAGGCCTTTCATGTCTCTTCTGCTTCTAAACAGCGGTTCTCAACCTGTGGGTTGCGACCCCTTTGGCGGCTGAACGACCCTTTCACAGGGGTCGCCTAAGACCATCCTGCATATCAGATATTTACATTACGATTCATAACAGTAGCAACATTACAGTTATGAAGTAGCAACGAAAATAATTTTATGGTTGGGTCACAACATTAGGAACTGTATTTAAAGGGCCAGAAGGTTGAGAACCACTGTAAAAGATCTTTATAGTTAACTTATTTAGTTTCAAGGGGGGGTGGTGGTAATGATTATATTTTCTTGGAATCATTTAAGTTTATAAGTTAACTTAGGGACACATTTGAGGTGAGAGTCTTTTTGTCTAAAAACATGATAGGATTTTCTACTTGTTCTAAACCTACTTTTTTGGTTTTCAAGAGCATGTACTATTTTTATAATTTAGATTTTGTAAATTTTAGTTAAGTTTATACCTGTCTCTTTAAATATGTTTAAAAAGATATTCTGTAGAGTGCATTATGGGCATTGACATTCATTCATTTAGCAAATGAATGTCTGCTATATTCCTGACACTGTACTAATTGTTGGGGATGAAGTGATAAGCTAAAGTTTCTGATCTTAAAGATATTTGTATCTAATGAGGACACTAACAGTAAACAGGTGATTTTCATTCACTTGAAATAGGCTCTAATTGGTATCATGATAGGGGGCCAAAAAAGGCATATCCAGGTGATTTGGGAGGTAGAAATAATGGAGGATCAACATTATGGTGTTTACATGTGATAATACTAAAAAACATTCTTTGAAATAGTGGCACATAAATATTGACTCCCATAATGATAATGACACTGATAGTGGTAGTAGAAGAGTTCCCAGAGGAGATCACTTCAAAAGTGAAACCAGAAGCAGTTGACCAAATAAAGTGGGATCCCCACACAGACAGAGGAGCTTCAGTGTACATTTTTATCATGACAAGCTCTGACCATTGCCCTAAAAATGAGGGGAAAGGGGAAGTCATAAAATGTCCTGTTTTGGAATTGCACTTGTTTCTTGAGACATTTCAGCTGTGTTTCTTTTGTAATTCAGTTTCATTGTTTAATTATTGAGTAATTCATTTCTGGTAAAAACTGGTTGAATTTTGTAGAAATCTTAAAAAAATCTAAGTAGGAAAAAGTGATTTGAGATCTGTAACATTGGTTAAAAGTGTTTTTGAATTTGATCCTCCTTCCTTATTGCAGGTTTGTCTTTTTGTTTGTTTTGATTTGATTTTTGTTTTGCCACATCTCTTTTTCCTTGCAGGGTGATAATGTCAAATCCCTCCTATGTAGTTTGATCTATCGGAGAAGTTCAATGACGGCTGAGCAAGTTTTGAATGCTGAATGTTTCTTGCTACCAAAAGGGAAATCAACTTCAAATCCAGAAAAAGATACTGAATATGTGCAGTATAAAGAGGAAGAAGAATTAAAGTTGGAGAACTTGGATAAATATAAAGAAAAGACAAGAAGTGGTGAAGCCACCTTTGATTGATAGATTAGGATTCTTTTGTTGTTGCAGATGTTCTCTTTAAAAACTTAATTTGGTTGGTTAAATAAACAGGAAAAAGCCTGGAAGTGTTCTATAGCTAGTTGGGTTAGGTCTTTGGTATTCCAGTTTTGAAAAATAAAAGATATTTGGCTTTGCAAAAGGTTGTATATTTTGAAGTTTCATTTAACTGGAGGTGTTAAGGAAAGATTTTCTGTCTATTATTTTTTGAAATTACATAATTAGACTAATTTACTTGTAATAGAAAAGGTTATTAGATTGTTGGACAGATCCTAGGCGGATTTTTAGTATGTTGGCCAGCTGATGATGAAGGGTGATGCTTTTGTTCAATAAATGATAGTTGCTTCTGCTTTGTACCTAGTTCTGGGGATAGAAAGTAAGTAAAATATGGTCTTTACACTTACAAAGCATACCATCTATTGAGAAAGTCAGAGATATAAACATATCTTCATAATACAATATGGAACATCCAGTGATAGCTCTGGACAAAGCCTTTTGGGATTGAAGAGGAGGGGCACTTATAGTATGGAGGAAGGTAGTACTTTAGTTAAATCTTAAAGGATGAGTAGTAAAGGTCAAGGTGGGGCAAGAGTGTCTTAAGTAGCAGAGAAAACATGATGAAAGCACTGAAGGGAGAAACAGTTTGTTGTATTTAATAGTATAAAATCTGAGGCTTGGAATAGTCTTACAGGTAGATGAGGGCTTTGTATGGAATAATAAAAGGCTTACACCTAATCATTCTATAGGAAATGTGGAGTCATTGAAGAATATTAAATAGCTTTAGTTCCCTCAAAATCCATCTCCTACCTACTACCGGATAGATGGTAGGGAGATTGGTTAGAAGGATATTATAAAAAAAGTAGGTGACAAATGATGAAAACAGATCTAGGGAAGTAGAAATAGTGATGAAACATGAGACATAATTATAAAGTAATTAGGCAGATCAGTTGGACTTGGTGATTGAAATATATGTAAAGTATGGTAGAATTTCTAGTCGCATATGCAAAATCTAGTCTTCCTTTTTTCTTAGTAATAGATTCCAATTTTATTTGGGGTGGCAGTGTACTTGACTAAAATATTACATTCACCATTTTCTCTTAATTGAGGCCTTTTGACCAGGTTCTTGCAAATAAGTTTCCTTAAAAGGAGGTAACTTAGCTGGGAAATGTGCCCCTTTGCCTTTACCCCTTTCCTATTGCCTAGACGTTAACATGATGGGTTAGAACAGTGGTTCTTAACCTTCTGGCCCTTTAAATACAGTTCCTCATGTTGTGACCCAACCATAAAATTATTTTCGTTGCTACTTCATAACTGTAATGTTGCTACTGTTATGAATCGTAATGTAAATATGATATGCAGGATGGTCTTAGGCGACCCCTGTGAAAGGGTCGTTCGACCACCAAATGGGTCGCGACCCACAGGTTGAGAACCGCTGGGTTAGAATTTGAGTAGCGTCCTTAGGATGAAACCCATGAACTAGGATGATGGAGCAGCAAGTCAAAGGAGCTGGTGTCCATAATATTCTGGAGCTTCTGTGCTAGCCTCAAGCTTTCATATTACAGCCTCCACGTCACCTGAGGATCCCAATTGAAATGCAGATTCTGGCTCTACTCCAGACTCACTAAATGAGAATCTCTGGGGTGGAGCCTGGCAATCTGTACTTTAACAAGTGCTTTAAATTATTCTAATGTACGAAAAAGAACCATTGCCATACATTAAAGTCATTGCTACCTTTTGGGTTTCCTGTTTTATAATAGAACTTTAGCTGATTCAGTAATAAAGACACAGAAATTAAGGTTACAGCAAACTTGGATAATTAAAGGGAACAAAGAATAGAACACTATTTATGCTCACTATTTTAAATAAAGAATTAGACCAGTATTTTCCAAATGTGTTCTGAACAAGTCCCTTGAGAGGTTCAGTACAAAAAAGAATTCTGTGATTAGTTATTTGGAAAGTAATAAATACTAAATTGGAGGTTGATCTTTTATATTAAACGGGAAAGGTTCTAAGAAGTTCTCTAGAAGAAAAACCTGTTTAGTTTTTATCCCAGCATTTGCCAAAATCAACAATGAAAATCCCCCTTTTCCACATTATACCTAGCAATTTCTGTTCTGTGAAAGTAGGGAGAGAATCAGATTTTGTGGCATACTGAGTGTTTTTATTTTTTGTTTCAAAATTGAAAATACTAATGTGTGGTGTAAAGAGACAAATTACTAAGTATCTCTTCAATGCCATAAATGTTTCTTGAAATAGGTATATATGTGTGTAAGAGAAATGCAAAGGCAAACAAATGGGTTTACTGCCTGGGGAGTAATGATGCAATGCAGTATGTAATAAACTATAAAAAGAGAAATAATGTATGTCACCACAGAGAAGAGGAAGGAAAAAGGAATGAAGAAGTTGAGGAACAGACATTTGACTCATTTTAGAGGAGTGATAGGGTTCCACTTTGGAACTGGAAGAAGTTACTCCAGGCCAAGCAAATTAGAGCTCAAAGGGTAGATTTGGGGAAGGAAAGGACAAGAATTTGGCTGGAGTATAGGACATTCATGGGGGAGCAGAGAAATAAACTTGGAAAAGTATTTTGGGGACATACCATAGAAGGTTGTGAGTTGCTCTGTAAGAAATTGGACTTTATTAAAAACTCAGAAGCAGTTGACTCACACAATCCTGTTTGTTTTAGAATAAAATAGCTAACTGGAGAGGATAATTTGGTTAGGAACAGTCAAGGATAGCACATTTCACTAAAGTAGTTGAGGCAAAGAAAACATCCTGTTTTAGATCAAGACAATTATTTATTTACTAGAGACCCAGTGCATGAAAATTCTTGCACTCGGCGGGGGTGGGGGGAATCCCTCTGCCCGGCTGCACCCTCTCGCAGTCTGGGATCCCTTAGGGGATGTCCACCTGCCAGCTTAGGCCTGCTCCCCGGGGGATTGGGTCTAAGCTGGCAGTTAGATATCCCTCTGGCAGCCCAGAAGCCTCAGGGGATGTCCAACTGATGGCTTAGGCCTGCTCCCACTTAAGCTGTCAGTTGGACACTCTTAGCGCTGTTGAGGAGGCAGGAGAGGCTCCCGCCATTGCTGCTGTGCTTGCAGCCATCAGCCTGGCTTGTGGCTGAGTGGAGCTCCCACTGTGGGAGTGCACTGATCACCAGGGGGCAGTTCCTACATTGAGCATCTGCCCCCTGGTGGTCAGTGCGCGTCATAGCGACCGGTGGTTCTGCTGTTAGGGTCAATTTGCATATTACTCTATTATTATATAGGATGAGAGACAGAGACACATTGGTTTGTTATTCCACTTATACATTCATTGGGTGATATTTGTGCCCCAACTGGGGATTCAACACACAACCTTGGAATATTGGGATGATGTTCCAACCAACTTAGCTACCCGGCCAGGGCTAGATCCAGGTATTGAAAAGGAGAGAATTAAGAGCAAAAACTCTTTTCTCAAAAGAAATTAATGGGCAGCCAAGTCATTTCAGTGTGCTAAGTCATTTCAGAGTGTATTTAAATGTTAACATTGGTAAAATTTCCTGGGATATCTTTTAACTCATCAAATGACATGCTTTATCATTCCTTAGTTTTTGCTATAACCATATCTTCTGCCATTAAAATTACATGCATAAGCAGTTCCGGAGTGGTGGAGTAATGGTCTCTGAAAATCTCCATAAAAGCAGTAAGAACATTGACAAAAATTGTCAAAATGAACTTTTTTAGAACTCTTGGAATTAACCAAGGACTTGGAACAATTCGAAGAACATTTATTCAAGAAAAGCAACTGAATCTTGGTAAGAATTACAAGCTTTGCCCTATTCCATCCCTTGTATCCAGCTCTGTTGTAGCCTTGTAAATCAGCAGCCTCACAGTGATGTTAGCTATGACGACCAGTGCCCTAACAGCCAGTGGAAATGGCAGAATGTTTGGAGCTCCTCAAAACGCTCCACTGCCAGAGAATTGTCACTATTTGACCTGTCTGGAAGCTACCTGGAAAAACCCATTCACAGGGCTTGTTTCTATTTGATGTGACTCAGAGCTTGCTCAGTGGAAAAAATACTTTCCCAAGGGTACTTATTTAAAAAAAAAATCATGGCAGTTCTTTAACATTACAGCTTCCTGAGGTAGTGATACTGTTGGGGCAAACAATTTAATAGAAAAATCTGGGAATGATATTGTTATGTTCCTAGGATACATTGAAAAGCTTCAACAAATTCCTAGGGTTCTAAAAGGCCATGCACATAAGTTCAGAGCTGTGTGCATTCCCAGGAAAGACCTTCAGAAGGCCCTAATCTTTCATCTCTGGGTGACCTTCAGGCTCTAGAAAACAGTATGTAAAGTCTAAGGTAGATTTGTAACTGCCAGAGTGATGAAGATGTGCCCGAACATACAAATCGCTCAGCAAAGGTTGGGAGATTTACTGATTCCAGGCATTTAAGGAATTGTCTATTCAGTTATCAGCTGACCACTCAGCTAAGTTGCACATAAAAACAGTACAGACTTCACAATATTAATCCCGGACACAGTCACTAGCAAACATCATCATCACCACCAATAATTAGCAGTAACAACAAACTCTGGGTTGAGGGAGGAAATCTGATATCCAGAGTTGGAAATTAGTATATTTAAAATGCCAGTTTTGAGCAAAAATAAAAAAGGTAAGATGTAAAGAAACAAAAGTATGTCCCATATGCAAGAAAAAATAAGCAATCAATAAAAACTGTCCCAGAGGAAGCCTAGATGTTGGGTTTAGTACACAAAGACTTGATATCAACTGTTTTAAATATGTTCAAAGGACTAAAGGAAACCATATCTAAAGAATTAAAGGAAGTTATGAAAACAGTGTTTCACCACATAAAGAATATCCATAAAGAGGTAGAAATTATAAGAAGGAGCCAAATAGAAATTAGGGAGTTGAAAAGTATAATAACTGAAATGAAAAATTCATTAGAGGAGCTCACCTGTAGATTTGGATTGACAAAAAAAAAAGATTGATGAATTTAAAGATTGACATTTTTTAAACTGAGAAACAAAAGAAAAAAATTAAAACTGTGAATAGACTAAGAGGTCTGT